GACGGTGAATACTTAAGATAAGCAATTTTTTCCTTGTCTTCAGAACGTCATGATAAATTGGGAGAATCTGATAAAATTCCGGAGAGCAGGAGGCAACACATCAAATCAGGAGACTCCCAATAAAATCGTCAGGGTTGGAATCTCTGCCCCCAAAGAATTCCATAATTTTTTATTCTACCTCTAAAGAAATCCTCCATTTTTATAACTTTCCCCTGAAGAATTCTATTAGTCATCAACCAGCGTGGTATGGATAATAAAAAAGCAATAGCACAAACGGATTTCCTGTAAAAATTTTCTTGGCTTAGTTATAATCATCTACGTCACAGAATTAAGGAATGCATTTTGTTATTTTGGGGGGAATCCAGATGTACAGTAGAACCCCCGTAACTCAAACTCTGAAGGAAAAAGAAAAACAGTTCAAGTTAGAGGAGGTTCTAGTCATTGAGGTCGATTGAATTTTCAATTTGTCATGTAAATAATTGAGATTTTACTGATATTTCAGCATGTCAGTAAACATCAGAGTGCAATTAAAACTTATCTCATCAGAAACTGTAACACAACTATGCATTTTTACAACAGGAAATGAATATGTGATCTGTTCATTGCACTTATTTAAAAAAATTGCTGTAGTGTGAGTCTTAGTGACACGACAAGAAGAGCTAATGGGATAGCATTTGTAGTGAAATGCAAGTCATAATTCAAGTTATCAAGGTAAACAAAATTTAGTTCCAGTTAGCGGGAATTCGTGTTATCCAGGAAAAATGACTGAAAAGAAGGGTCAAACCCAAGAGAAATGTGACTTTGTTCATGTTAGCGGGGAGTTTGAGTTATCCAAGCTTGAGTTATTGGGGGTTCTACTGTTGGTGGGGGTATAATACCTCCATGCACCACTGTGGAGACACAGGCTGTATTAGACAGGCCAGGATAACCACCCGCAATAAGGCTGATTTTAACAAAAAAAAGACAGCTGTGTTGAAAATGTGGCTTATCTCGGCATTCCAAAACAGTTGGCAGTCCCTAAGATACCCTCTAGATTGCACTCTACTGCTGGTTGCTACCATTTTTTATTTATAAACTGGTTTTAATTATGTTCTCCAGTTGCTGATAAATATCTAGAAAGCCAAATTCATTTAGTAAGGATTACTTTTACCTTGTATTTGTTTTTCAGATACAATGAAAATTCAGCATAAAGCTCATGGTGCAAAGGTAAGATTGATTATTTTAGGGCAGCACAACAAGCAGCTAATGCCAACTTAAGTTCAATTAATTTTATTCTTTATTGTCATTCACGACAAACATCTGTCATGTTTGCTTTATTGCGTTTTAAACAAATTGGAAATGTACTTCAACCTTCATGTGCTCACCTCCTCTTCTAAATGACTGGTCACTTATCCCAGACTGTCCAACCTTTTAGGTATGAAAATTTGGGATATTTTTTAATGACCAAATGAATCCCGCAGGTGCCAAGTGCGCAAGCCCCCAGGGGGTATAGGGGATTGTTTGCCCAGAACATTTTGAAAACTTGATGCCCCGAAATGCCATTTCTAGTGTTCTGAGAGTACAATCTTGTGTTTGAAATGTTTGCTAAATCGATTGTCATTATTATGCTTATTTTCAATGGTAATTTTTTACGACAAGTACTTGATTGCATTATATATTTTTTCGTTTTATTAATGTTTCCTGGATATCAGTTCTAGTTAAGTATACTCTGTTAGGTGTTCTTATATTAGTATCCTAAGAATTCATCTGAAAAGATCAGAAAGGATTACCAAAATCGGGATTTTTCCTATCGCGTTTGCATATTGGTTGGGATTCGGGACTTTTAAGCAAAATGAGGAGAATCCCAATGAGATCGAGATGATTGGACAGTCTAATAATTATCCATAACCCATAACACTGATGATGTTCCTAGCAAAAGCACTTTGAACCTCTGGTACAGTAAATGTATAATGAAAACAAGACTACTGTTAGGGGATAATGGTTTCACATAATTTGTACTGATTTTAAACTGTCAAGAACAACCAGTTTGTACATAACACATATTGATCACATTGCTGGCACATAATTATGTGTCAGTGATATGGAAAGGAGTCTTTGCTGTCCCTTGACTGAAGAATGACTACAGGCGGTATAATTATATTTAGAAATCTTACCTTTTTTTGCATGCAAACCATGAGGTAAAAAAAAACATGCTGTAGTCACGTAGAAAATGGTGCGCACGGCTTTGAGCACGTGCTAGCTTTCATCACCATTCACCCATGGGCAAATAGTAAATGAGTAATTGACCAATCAGAGTGCGCACTTTTTTTTGTAATGTTATATTTGGTGTAATCGAGTTGGGGACAGGTGCAATCACCAAATGACACAACACAGAAGATTTAAAAGATACTGAACAATAATTCCCACACCACAACACAAAAGCCAACCAAGTTGGTTCCCAAAACCAAGCAACACCCCCTGTGAGTGATCACTTTGTGTTCTAGGAAAAGCTTAGGTTGTTGTTGGTGTTTTTTTGAAAATGTAATATACCTAGTAAGTAAATTTTGTTTTCTTTTTTATAATTACTTTAAAATAAATTGACTTTTTAGACGAGTGATCCAGTTATTAACACAGAAAATGATGAGGCGCTCATTTTAAAACTAGACTCCAGTCTTCATGACAATGGAATTGGTGAGTGAAATTAAGTTTCATTTCATTTTATATCTTTCCCTATGAAAATAATTCAAATTTCAATTTCCTTACTCTCTGATCATATGAAAAGAGATATTTTAGCTGTCTTTCTTAGTCTCCACTGATAGTAAACCATAATTAATGCATAATTGTTGTGAAAATCTAGTCTTTCTCTTTTTTATGCCTATTTTACATATTTAAAATGTACTAGCTCTTCATCTGAATAATGAGCATTTATGATCAGTGTCAATCAGACATCAGCCAGAACAGCTGCACTATAATGGTGATGAAACCCTGTTCTGTTCTGCAGTAATGTGCCTTCCACTCTACCCCCTGACTCAATAATTCAACAACAACAAAAAAATAATTAATAAATTATTTTATACCATTGTACATAATTTTATCTTAAACTTCTCAACAGAACATGAAACAGAAATCTCTCTTTTCAAGAAAGAGGATTACAAGAAATACCAAGCTAACCCAATTTTAAAGTGGTAGTCAATACAAGGCTGTGCTCTAAGTAAAATTCTAGAAAGCCCAATGCTCGGAACCTGAGAATTCCAGGGTGCCCAGCGTTTAATTTTAATGCAAGAACGAAGATTTTGTAATTGCCAAGGAGCAAACGTAACCCACCAGTGGCCACCTGGCGCTGTTAGAGCACAGCCTTAAAATATGAATTAATTTTTAACCAAACTTAGTGAGTGAAATTTGTAACATTAACTTTGTACAGCTTCCAAAAATAATTTTATGATTTAAAACAACTTGATTCTCGTGACATAGTCAGTTTGGACGGTCACCTCAGATCACTTCTCTTTTCTGTTAATTTATGACTAGGTTAAGTCCACTTTGGACACAAAACTGATAAGTATTATCTTGTTTTGAAGAAATTATGCAGTCCAGGATAGAATGTGCTTGCTTTCTTTACAAACATTTAAAAACAACATAAATATGTGAAAGAATGTTTGTAAAGAAAGCAGACATATTCTATCCTGGGTTGCGTATGTTAAAAAAGGGTACTTCTAGAAGATGAAAATGCTGCCCAAATCTAATATTTTTTACCGTTATGATGTATAGAATTATGAATACTTAAATTACCATTTATCATCAAATAATGTATTATAAAGCTTAGAAGTTCTATGAGAGTAGTGTGACTCTTCAGTCCGTGACAGAAGAAAAAAGATTTAGGAATTTACACCAGCTAAAGAATTATAATTATTCACAGTTACAAGCACTGCGGGCTAATCTTAATTCCTTTTTCAAAAATTTTTCAGTTTGCTAGTATAATTTATTATTTTATTTACCTGCTGGTGGATTTACCTGGTTGCTTTTACACCTTCGTAAACTGCCGTTAAAACCACAGGTAGCCTGGGCAAACCACCTGGTGACTCAATATCTGGACTTCTGCAAGGTACCATAAATGATCTAATAAACGCCCGGGACTTTTTTATTAATTTTCAGGGGCACCCAACGAGAATGTAGTTCAAAACCAGTAGCGTATTTTAGTTTTTAAACGGTAGATATAGGCATATTTTTATCCCCTTAAAATTTTTCATCTGTTCGGATTTCCTAGCTGAAGGTCTACCTTTTCGAAAATTTCAGCCAGAAAAAAGGCTCCCGAAAATTCTAGGTGACCTTTTTAGGGTAAAAATCCGTTAAAAATGGGCAATTATACCATTTTTTAGATGTTCAATAATCCTAGGAGAGGTAGACAAGCTGAAGAAATTTTACAACAAATGTTTCGAAAATTCTAGATCTCAAATCATCTTCCGTTTAAAACTGACTGTAGCAAACTGAAACAGATACTCTTTCAGCGACTATATCACTACAGTTTGCAAACAGTAGACAATCCAGTCCATCCAGTGATGTTTCTAGGCCAATTTAGAGATACATATATATATTTTTAATTCTCAACTCCTCACTTTAACTTGGCGTGGAACAAGGTATAATGGGCAAACTCTTGTTAACCAAGCAAGAAAATAAATAATTTCAGTTATTTTTCTCTTTTTCTTTATTTCCTAAGGTAGTAATTTGGAGCCATTGTTTTGCGGGGCGTTTATTTGGTAGGGACGTACGGGTTAGGGTAATACAAACGTAAAACGTCTGTTAGATCATTTGCGGAGCTCGGGTCACCTGTGTTAGATTTCACGCCTGCATCTTGTAGATAAAGCGCGTTGTTAGATTAATAGATGTTTTTTAACAGATGAATCAATGTGCAAATAAACGGGATCATCAGAGCAAACCACGCCCTTGCGTATATTCTCTCTAGTCCAGAAGTCGGAGTTTCGCCTGGACTCTCTCGCAGCATAACTCGAACATTTTCAAATGAACCGTTATTTTGGTTGAATTCCAAGCAGATGGCACATCAAAGGATATAAATCAACTATATTAAACGGCTGAACTTCGAAACCCTTCTTAAAAGCAGGACCTTGTGCGAAAAAGATCGGATAGCTTTGACTTTCCCGCGGTGGCCAACCATGTGTCCCGTAAACCCACGATGTGTTCGGGTTCCCGCGGGATTGTGTGACAGACCAACCCAACTCGGGATCAATGAATATGGGGGGTATTCTGCGATTGTGTTTCCAGTGGAATGATTCGGGGATGTCTTGTTTCTTGTAAATTTTCATGTGTGGGTTCTTTACCTTTGTGAGATTTTTAAATATTTCCTCCAGTTTCTCATCTTTTGGCCAGATATGTCCCAGAGCTGTTGATTCTGTCATCATGTACGCGGATCGGTCGAGATAATCATCCAAAAATATTTGACGGGCCGAAGAAATGTTATTAAAGCTGTGATCGCTGACAAAGATTAAATTGACGTTATCAATGAGGTTAACATCACGCAAGCGCTTTGTTAGATAACCAACAACCTCTCGATCAACCTTCTCAATGGCTTCCTTATACTGTTTGGAATGCGAGCCGTAATCATGACCCTCCCAGTCTGGGTGATCAATATACACCCCTACAAACTGAGGTGGTTCCTCAGATTTTAACCAGTTAATTACCTTATCCAACCGGCTTTTGAATGGCTCAGTGTAATTAGGAAAACAGTGGATGTAACTCGGCCATGTGGGGCGTGTTCTGTTCCTGTATTTAGGCAGATCCTTCGGATCAATTGCACTGCAATTCACAAGGCAAAAGGGTTTCTCATTATACGTGGGTTTTTCGGTGTAGCCTTCCTCTCCGGGCCAGAAATATAACCCGCTCTTTCCTCCTTGTTTCTGTAGCGTCAGCCAGATCGGTTCGGCAGCCTTATAGAACTTGGGATCCTTCGACGAACAGTCGTAATCGTAAATGTACATCTCTTGGTAAAGTGGATCCCAGAACTTGTTGGAGACAATACCGTGGCTTTCTGGGTAAAGACCTGTTAGGTAGTAGTGGTGAGTGGGCCAAGTTTTTGTTGGGACAACATTGAAAGTATGCTTAGCTCGAACTCCGTTCCTACCCACTGCATCTAAGTTTGGAGTACCGGCAAACTGTCCACTGATGAACTGCCATCACATGCCATCCAGGGAGACCATAATCACAGTGTCTTTGTTCGCTCGTTTCTCTTCTTTGGAAGAGATGCCGTTGAAAATGCAAAAGAAAACGAAGCAAATTACAGGGCAAATACTAGTTGTTGTCCCCATTTTTATATTCTTGAAAAGGCTCGAGCGTTTGGCGTCTAGTGAGGTAGAGTTCGTGACGTAATGCACTCCCACGATCCTACCGACCCTGGGTAGTGACGCGATATAACGCAGTCACCCCATATAACGCGATAGGCTAAATCGCCGCCGCCGTGTTGACACAAGCTTTAAATTTCGCTCTATCTCCATTCAAAAGAGAAAATTTATATTTTAGTTCAGAGTATTCACACGAAACGACTGCGTCCTTTCAGGCATGGCAAAAAATTCATTAAAAGTCGTCAATTAAAACAAAAAACTAGCCTGAGTATCAGGCGTTTCTGGGGAAAAGGGGAAAAGTGGAAGCGAAAAAGGAAGAGAGGTGGTCTTCTCCCCCTCCCCCCTCCCCCATCTAAAATCTCCTCTTCCCTAGCCCCGCAGGAAGGCCTGATACTCAGGCTAACAAAAAACAAAAAATGCATGTTATTTTTAAAAGTTTCCTTGAATCGTTGGCTTCATCAGTAGAAACTAAGACAACAAAATGATAACAACTGCTTAGCTTAGCGGCTAGCCTCACAATCGTTGTTTCACATTTTAATAAAATGTTACATTCTAAAGTATAGTGCCATTTTAAAAAACAAGCTTCTAAAAAGTCCTGGTGAAAGCAATCACGAGTCTCTAGTGTCCGCTAAAAAGGACTGTGTCACGGCTTTCTTGTTCATTATAAATCAGACAAAATCACAGCTTCTTGTCGGACAAAAATGTCTCCTAAGCATTATATCAAACGTTACAAACAACGAGTTAAACTTTAAAACCACAATTGCAATCCGTTTCGATCTTCTTCAAGTTTGTCGCCTACTTTTATATCTACTGTTTTATTTATACCTTCTTTTAATCTTTTGAGCAGTTACACAGTAAATGGTCAACTCAATTTGCTGGCGATCCCAACTGTCTGCATTTTGATACATTTTATGGCACAGCTCCTTTAACACCCGTAGGTGTCTGCTAAATACAGGCGGTTCGTTTAACAAGAAACTTTAAAATGGAGGAGAAGTCCAGGATCTACCGAAACGGTTTTCCGCGCTTAATACAAGTTTCTCTGCAATGAATGCTTGTTATGAATAAGGATTAACAAGTTAGCACTCAATTAACAATCATGGCTGCTAAATAGCAAGTTTCATACAATGTGCTCCAGGCCGTGGAAAAGACTAACCTATTCACATCTCTGTACTTCATACTGTCCAGTATGCGAACTAAAGCTTAGAAATGAACGAAGGACAACAAACTTAGAAGAAATGTCACAACACCATCATAACAGCAACAGCACTAGCGGCAACTAACGCACGAGATGACCACGTGATCACGCTCCGTTGACCAGCGGTCGGTTTCTCGTCGTCAGGCTCGTCGTCAGGCTCGTCTTTGTACATCTTCTTAACAGTTGCCATGGTTCCGTTGTTAGGGCGAGGTTCTATACCCAGTAAATCGCACATCATTGGATAAAGATCAAGAATAGAGAAGGGCTCTATCTCGTAACCCACTTTGAATGCAGGCCCTTGGGCGAATAAAATAGAATGCGTCTTCGATTTCTGTGGTGGCCAGCCGTGATCCCCTCGGACCCATGTTCCTTGTCTGACGGAAGCGTTGGTCTTGGCTAAAGTCCACCCGGGGTCTGGTTCAAGATAAAGGGGCGGAATACGCCGATTGTGTTTCCAGTGGTATTCGTCAGGGATATCTGCCTTTTTGTACACAGCTAAGTGATCAGGAGTGTTGGGTTTCGTCAGGTTGTTGTAGATTTCGTCTAACATGCCCTCATTTGGCCAGATGTGCCCAATAGTTCCACCCTCTACCAGTCGGTATGTTGACGGGTCGATGTAGTTTTCCAAAACGATCACTCGTTCTGAAGATGCGTTCACCATGCCATGATCGCTTACGAAGATCACGTTCACTTTGTCAATTAACGACACATTCTTAAGCTGGTCCATGAGATAACCCACAGCATCCCGGTCCACTTCTTCAATGGAGTCTTTGTAGACTTTGGACAAAGCACCGCCCGAATGACCTTTCCAATCCGGTGCATCAATATACAACGCGACAAAGCGAGGAGGATCATCAGATTTTAGCCAGCTAATGACACGGTCGACTCGACGAGGAAATGTCTCAGTTTCGTTAAAAAAGTCGGGATAGCAGTGCTCGTAGGGTGGAAACGAGCTTCGCGTCTTGTTGCGTAGGCTAGGGAGGTCTTTAGGATCAACAGCGCTACAGTTCAGCTTACAAATCGGGTGTCTGTAGAAGCTGGGGAATTGGTTTCCAGCCGCCAAAGCCCGGCCAAAAGTACACCCCACTGCGGCCTTTGTTTTTCTTTGACCGCTCCAGTGTCAGCCATATAGGTTCGGATTCGTTGTAAAATTTTGGGTCAAAAGTCGTACAGTCATACTCCAGGATAAACGTTTCATCGTAAACTGGATCCCAAAACTTGTTGGAAACCAACCCGTGTGACTCAGGATACAAACCAGTGACGAATGATACGTGCGTCGGCCATGTTTTGCTCGGGACTACTGTCTTGATGTACTTCGCTGTTACCCCATTTTTCGCGACTTTGTCGAGGTTTGGTGTTTTTGCAAACTCCCCGCTAATCAGATTCCATGGCATTCCGTCCATGGACACGAGAATGACTGTCTGAGGTTCTTTTTCTGCCTTTGAAAAGTTCAGAAAGAAGAACGCGAAGAGCGAGATGGCTAGTGGCACGACACGATCCATTTTGTTTGCGCTTCTTCTAGTGGCACTCCCTGATATGAAATGTTTTGACTACTTGATAGATCGCTCTTTTTATTCGTTGGCACGGGGTGACCTTCTGATAGTTGTGGTGTCACGTCATCACTTTTGTCAGATTGTTTTGGTCGATGTTTTTCAAAACTCATTAACCCTTTAAGTCCCAATAGTGACCAACATTAATTTTCTCCTAACATTATCCATACACTGTCAAGAGATTAGGTTTTGAGAATCAATAAAATGATCACCGAAGAGAACATGCTTTGATCTTTTATCAAAATTCTCTCAACTAATTCTTTAAGGAAATATGTCGAGATCAGTTTGGAGAATTTGTATGTGGATATTGCGACTTAAAGGGTTAAAGAGATTAAAAAGTAATCTGCGTTATGCTGGAAGCTAGCAAGATATCTCTTAAAATGTACCATTAAGTTGGATTCGTTAAACTGACAAAAAGATCGTAAAAAGAGGAACGAAGGAATAGTGAACTATATTGCCGAGAAACCACTTCTCTTGTTAAGAACGGCACACTTTGTTTACTTCGACTGTTCCGTGCCTGTATTGTATTTTGTCAAATAGAACACGCGATCACGCGAACTTGTCATTTCAGATCGGGGATTCTAAAACCTCTGCTCTTCCCTGCAATCTGTACTTTTCAAAACGAAAAGAAATAGAACATATAACGGATTAAAACATTTTATTTTATTTTAAATGAAATGAAGTTTCCATTCATAATTGATGTTTTCCTTCTTTTAGATTTTTAAAATAAGACGACACATTGACAGTAAGCGATATATTACGGAGCTTAAGACGACAGCAAGAACGTAAACGTCAAAAAACAATTGATTTATGAGGAAAACAACAGCTCTGCATATGTGCATCACGCTTTTTAGTACATTTCTTTGACATCCACTGCACGACTACGACGTGAAACTTCCTAATTTGACGTTTTATGGAGGACGTGAACACGCGACGCCTAATTTCCCTTTCCTTTTTGAAGATAAAATACAGCGTTTAAGAATTCAACCCCTAGGAAAGTTCACCAACATTTGACAGATTGATAGCGGCTAGATAAACGCGATAAAATTTAAAAGAACACAAAATCACTTTAATTTAGAGCTTTTTCACGTTTTCGTTTTCCTTCGTCTTCGTGATTGCGTGAACTCCCACAATTTACAAACAAGACGGCCATAATATTTTTATCTTTTTTCCGATTTACCGGTGTTTGGGCACTCAGTACACACTTTTTCCCCCGTCGTTAACAGAGACATAGCGATGCGACCCTGTCTCCTTCCATAGACGCCATTCTTCGCATGCATCAGCACTATATACAGAGATGGATTTTACTCAAGTTTCTTTTATACATGGCTGCTTGCGTAGTGCTTGCACGGTAGGAGGGAGTGTGGATATGTGTACGTTTGTCCAAAAAGGCACTCTTTCAATTTCATTTACCTACAAATACATTCTGGTTGAAAACCGAGCGACTTTTTCTCGTTTTGCTCAGCCTTTTAAAATTGTAAATAGAACGGTTGCTCATGACTTGAATTGGATTTGTTTCTTTTGTTTGGTTGATGAAAATCTCGTCACTAAATGAATAAATACAAACAAATGAATTTATTTATTTAATATGTAATAAGGTACGTCTCTTTGCATTAGTCTGAGATACCCCGTAAAATGTGTTCATAGCAGTTTTCATTGCCCTTTTCTCTACACTCTAACCCTTGAAAACTCACCCTATTTATATACCTCATAACCCTCCACACGAAACCACTGAACTGCCCACTAAAACCCGCACATCTTTTTGAAACCGCTTTCCCAAGAATCCGATCGGGGAAACTGCAAATCCAACTTGTCTGGATCGTGTTAAGATGGGACCCGAAAAGGTGCCCCTCCTTTGCCACTTCTTCTTTATCCAATGGGTCTACATTGGATAAATATTGCTAACTTTTCGGGCCCTGAAAGCTGTTTTGTGTGTGCCGTGTTTTCATTCAAGGTCAAAGTTCCAATGATACAATGAAACTATCAGTTAACGAAACGACTGGTTTCTGACTGTGACTGTGCCCCTATTCAACAAGTTTTGATTTTAAAATTTGCCTTCGGGCCAGAAAAGTTTCTGGGGCTTTGGGCGTTTCGAGAAACAGGGCCCAAGTCCTCCTTTGCAATCTAGTGAATAATTCAGTAAGACGTCCATCACTGCCGGCGTCCTGATTGATGCTCATATCAAAGATTGAAGGAGCTGTGTCGGTTTACTCGCCAAGAAAACTAACGGTGATAAAGACATTACTTCAAAATGGAGAAACAATGACAGCTTCAGGGCAGAAAATCAAAGTGGTCGCAAAAATCAGACACACTATATAGCTAAAGAGGTTTTATACTGAAAACAACTGCAAATTACCCGAACCACCACCAGCTATATACTTCCCGATAAAAAGAAAATAAGTAATAATAACAATAATGCCCTTGTAAGTTTGTATGTTTTTGCTGTCTGGAAAAATACAAGAATACAATAGCAAAACCTGCAGGCGCAAAAGAAGTGATTCCGAGTAAGTTTCCTTCCGAAGGTCTTGCCTTTTTTCTCCTGAGGATCGGGCAAATAGTCCAGTAGCCGAGGTCGGAAAATTGTCGTTTCGTTCAACCCACCAGTCAGAAAAAGTTTGATAAAGATTTTGGTAGAACAAGACCTCCTGATGATTGCCTAATAATTTGTAAGGTCGATCTGTGATATAGGTTTGTGATATAGGTTTCGAGTAAACGGCGTTTTTAATTATGTCACTCACCTTACCGTACAGCATGAAAACGAGGCTGGAGCCTAAATCACTGTTTACTTCTTAATTCTTTATTAAAAATCGCTAAAAAATGGTAACTTACCCAATGTTCAATATAACAAAGGAGATTATAATATTTTCAAATCAACAATGTCACGTCACTGATCGCGTAACTCGCAAAAGCACAAATTATTTGCTTGAAATAAAGGAAAATCGCGCTTTTGTTTTTTCTTCTAAAAACCAGTTTTAATTATCTGTACTTTGTTTAGTATTAGTTGCTTTCCTTTATTAATATTTTTGCAAGTAACGTTTCTAGGATAGATAAAAATTCCTTTTTTAACATTTCTATAGCTCTTGACATTAAATGAACGTGACAGAGAGTCTGTTTTGATAAGAAATAGAGATCAGGAATCAATCACAGCCAGCCCTTAAAATTCGTGAAAAAGAATGCCTTTGAATAAAAAGAAAATCATTGCCATGTTGTAAATTTAGATAATTCCCTGGCACTGTAAGTCCACCGGCAAACAAATTGCGTCAAACTTGAAAAAAAAAATTGGCCCGAGAAAAACCAGTTTCAGTCTTCTTCCTTCAGTTTTGCCTGAAGAGAGGAGATAATTGGTCCCAAGGTTCTCTCTTGTTTTGCCCATCCGGGCTCGGGTATTGCTCTTGTGATCTTTTACAGCTGAATCAGCTGTTTTTGTTTCACAGTTCTCTCTGATCCTTTCGTTGGAGCTGAAATGCCACCTAATACTTTGTTCCTGTGTCCATGTTCCTTTGCTTATACCTCTGTTTGTTTTGTTTTCTTTTGAATATTTCACACGGCGTGCTCTGCATTAATATCCGTTTCTACTGTATCTTGATTTTCTTGGGCCTTAACCGCTACGGCGGAATTTATTCTTGCCTTTTTTGCTTTCATTTTTACTCCCAGGTAACTCACACATTTATAACAACGCTTTCCTAACACGTTGCTTTTTTCCAAGTAAGCGACAACAGAATCAATCAAACCCGATAAAAAGGACAGGCCAGGCAGAACAAATACGATAAAAATGGATTTGTGTTTTTCAAACGGGATAAAATCGCCAAATCCAACAGTGGAGTACGTCACGAACATGGAATAAACAATAAACACAACAGACTTCTCTGGTTCCAAACGCGCTTGAACTGTTGTTACCACCACCCAAGTTAAAACGAAGCAACATAAATTGATGCACATATTTGCTTTTTCCAGGAAAGGACATTGGGTTTCTGGGCAGGCCATACCGTGACGTTTTCTGTGTAGGGGTCTGTTTGCCTTTTTTAAACCGATGTTGACCAATTTTCCAACTGCACGCAATGCCAGGAGAGTGATTGGGATTCCAGGAAATGCATAGATAATGGTAAAAACTTGGCCAACATCTGTTGCAGGGGTTATGTTGCCATAACCTGTCAACAAAAACCGTCCAGAAAACAGTTTTCAGTAACATGTTAAACCATAGTTATTAGAGGAGACTGGTTATGAAAAGCGGCAAACATCAATGATAAAAACAACAGTGCTGCAGTTTATGTTCAAAGCACCGTGAAAGTGCACAATCCTTTGTTTTCTGTTGGCAAACTGTTACGGAATAAATTAATGCAACGTTTTTATTGGTCAATACAATCAAAATGATAGGAATTCTTTTGAACGTTGTGCACTTTCAGGTCCACAAAAACATATAACAAAGGAGTCTGACGGGTTTCATAACCATTCCACTCAATTAACTATGGTTAAACCTTACGTCTTAACTCAAAACATCAGTTTGCTTTAACATTATTGACATTTTGGGGTAAATCCAGACAGTAGTACCTAGTGAAAAGAACAAATAACAAATTCCTTGGGGTCATGATGCAACTACAGCAACAAAGTGGCGCACAACAAATTTCGTTCGACGTGGCTGCACGCTGCAACATATACAGAGGGTACATTAACATATACATACACAGTATTACATATACAGTATGACTTTGTGGTCGCTGTTCAAGGTAAATGTGAAATTTTCGGGAAGATACAAAACGCCCGGAAGTTTTGGCAGAGGTGTGCCGCGCAGGCCTTCAAACCCTGACCCTGTTTTAAGACAAAAATCGTTCATTTGGCTACCCTGTTTAAGGTGGCTGACACAGTTTGGTACCTATATACATGCCAGTGATGTGAGTCGTTAATATTCATTGGGGTGTTATTTAAGACTCGTTGCAGGTATAAAGCTTTTAAAATTTGTCACACACAAAACATATTTATAAGACACTACGTTTATTAGGTTAAACCTAAGATTTCGATGGTTGCCATGGCAAAATGAATGGTTTAACACAAGCCTAAAATTGTGAATTCAGCCGGTTTATGCAAAATCCAGTCATTAGATTTTCTTATGAATTTGCACATTTTTTTAAAAAACAACTTTACAGAATTGTAACAAATAGTTCTTGAAATTTTTAACAAAATAGCTCTCATGTGAGATTTGATTGTGTCACAAAAATCCTCTGTTCAACTTTAATTTCAGGTGTTCAATGATTAGATAAGGTCGTGGGGACACCTTGTGCTCATTATTATGCATTTAATTAAAGCTTATGCACGAAGTATAACGGCTGATATCGATAGGTTTACGAGATATTCATAACTGGATAAAAGATGAGCGCATAATTTAAAGCGTTTACGCGCACATGTGTCAAGCCGACTGCGAACAAAATGTTTATTCAAAAGTAACAAACAGGCTCTGAATCAAACCTTGTCTCTACGATTTTTAATAATATGGAAATGAAAATAAGGAAATCTTTAGAAATTTCAACCTATTTAATACCAAAACTTTGTACTTTCTTTTTTCGCCTCAAAAATCCTTGAAAACATTGCAGCTTATAAACAAAATTGATACGTGCTGACAATTTTGTGTCCAAGAATTCAGCGCAGATAAAACTTCACGGGCTGGCACTGCAGAGGGGTCAACTTGGAGACTGTAGAGTGTTTTGTATAGAGCGGAATTCTAAAAGAGCGCTTTCATAAAAATATATAAGGCGTTAATTTCGGGGAGGACAGATTTTGCTCGTTTAAACGATTATATCTTGCTGGCAAACATAAATTACAAAATCTGCTCAATACAAAACACACTAGGGCAGTTTTGACCAATCATTTATTAATAAAATCACAGAGTGCTATCTTCTATTCTTTCCGCAAACTTGGACACAAAATCACGATTTCCCAATTTGGTAAAACTGCGGCTTAAAGCATCCCTGTAAAGCGCGATCTACCAAATAAAAAAACAAGCCTCCGAAACGTCCATCATTTCACAATGTCTCTGTGAAATTTTTTATCTAAGTCGCCTCTAAAACAGCCGAGATATAAGCGTTTTAAAAGAAGTAGCACAAGCAAAATTTTGCCTTATGAATTTTTTCAGAGATAGGCCTTAAAGGGCGATATTGCCGAGAAGTTTGCCAAATGTCGTCAAATTCTAATGAGCAGATTTTGAGATATCGTCGTTTCTTTCAGCGAGCTTAAGGGAACAACGACGACAACAGCACTGAGTGAAAACATCACTAAAAAAATGTATTTGCATCGTTTCAAACTTAATCGCGTCTATTTGGAACCGCTCAATTCGTCAAATGCAGGCGACTTTCCTGGAGTTGAATTCTTAAGGACTTTATCCATGTTCAAATAGAGAAAGGAAACTTTGTCGTCGTCTCCACGTCCTCCATAAAACGTCGCATTGAGAGGTTTCACGTCGTAGTAGTGCGGTGGACGTCAAAGAAATGTACTAAAAAGCGAGATGCACGTGCAGAGCTGTTGTTTTAATCATAGAAACAATTCATTTTTGACGTTGTCGTTGTCGTCGTCGTCTATGAAAGTCAACAAAAAATCGTTCTCACATTTTTCGCTAAGTACGCATGCTCAAAACTTGTGCGCGTGCCGGGGTCACGCGATGTGACAAAAGCGACGAAAACAGAATAAAATTCTACAGACAACTTCTGGCCATTTCTCTCAGCTGGTCCTCACATTTTTACTAGAAAATCCCATTGGCTGCATGTCTTCTCATAGTAAAAATGTTAACAGTAGAGGGATAAAGCATTTCAAGGGGCGAAAACAACGAAGTTTTTATTTTTCCAGACCACGTCAGTCTTTGGCGCGAGCGAAAACAAATGTTTATGTCAGGGAAAAAACTGTGCTTAGTCACTTCAAGAAAAGAGAGCTTACTTTATTACCCTGATTCGTTTCGTTTGTACATACAGAATAAACTAATTTTTCCAACTAAGATCACGGAATAAGATATTTTTAAAAAATGTTGGTGCCGCAAATGTAGATCGCTCATCGCCAACCTTCCAGTTCAAAACAAAAACCACCCAGTTCAAGAAGCGAAATGGTGAAATTGTATACGCTCTTTAAGACTCAAGACCCTGATCAAAATCATTCATTGTTTAGAGGCTCACCCGCTTAGGCCGAATAAAAGAGTGCCTCCCCCCCCCCGGAAAACACATTTCAATATTTGGTGTTCAGCACAGTTTGGATAATTATGCTGCTATTGAAGCCACGATATATTGGTATATCCCGATCATTTTTTAAAAACATCTCTCCCTTTTATGAATTGTGTAATTTGACACAAGAAAAAAAAATAAATTAAACGAAGTATTTAACCCTTACCTATTGTCGTGAGGAGTTGCAGAACAAAGTAGACTGAATTAATAAAGCTCCATGATGGTTTGTATCCATTCTCTTTCAAACTTCGGAAATCTTGTAACATGTTTGTGACATTTTCTCTGGAAATGTTACATGTTTTCATCCACTTGAGCACGACATCGTCCAACGTTTGTTCAGCAGCGTTTTGATCTTCCTCTTTTTCGATTTGCATAAAAACAGCTCCACCGATGAGCACGTAAATAGAAAAACCAATAAGATGTAGTAATAACTTCCTCAAAGGAGCCTCCTCCATATATGCTAGTCCGACTATCCTCGCTTACACAGCCTAAATATTCTTACGCGATTTGAGATATTTTCAGTACAATATCTTGAAAACTTTGCTGTTAAATTTGTTTCACTTCAGTTGATATCGCTACTGCCGTTAATTCAACTGGCAACTTTTTGAGGTTGCAGCTGCACTAGTTAGGCGAATAAAAACAATGCTAATCAGCCGTTTATTTAGCCTGACAGATATCATACCTGCAAGTCAGCAACTAATAAAAGGTGTTTTTAAATGATAAAATACAATTTTTCGCGAAGTGTTAAGATTTTAATTGGCTGCGAAAACCACTCACGCAGATGTATTTCAAACTTTTTTCGATGGTATTACAAGGAACCATAGCCCGCCAGCAAGCTCTTCATTTATGGCGAGCGATGCGAGCTATGAGAGAAGCGCGAGCGAACGGCTAAGGAAGGGAGAGCTAGTTCTCTTTCTTTAATTTCCCCACCTCCTCACTCACGTCCCCTTCCAGTGTCGAGAAAATGTACTAAACCTTTTTCTTTGTTTCTGTTGCAGTAATATAACAATACGGGCTTTAAAACGAAGTTCCCTTCAATCTTCCCCAGAGCTATTACAACCTTCGATGTCTGGAGAATTCATATTATTTCTCGCTACTCGATCAGTGCCGAACGATTCCGTCAGATTATTCATACAACTCAGGAGACTCATGGGCTCCTGACACAACTTTCATTTTTGTTTTGTAAAACTCCTGAACCATCGCTTTTGAGGCGACCTTCCTGAGAAGTAACTTGTTTAGGATGGAGAAGACGATACAAAAGCGTGGACGCCAGAAACGCCGATATATTTGCATAAATTAATAAGGTCTCTCTGGTCTTTATGCAGTGGAAATTATACAGTTTTCTTTATCTTTCTCGAACGAATATTGATTAATTAAGTGTAAAGGTCACGTGATCGACTTTTCACCATCCTTCCCTCTTTATAACAACTTCGTCTAATCAAACTACGAGGGATAATAAGGAAGCTCGCGCGCGCGAAGCGCGCCAGCGGAGCACCATGGGTAAGAAAATTTGGTAAACTATCCATCCTAGAAAATTTGGTTATGACGTAGGGTACGAACTACCGTCCGTACACCCACTACATGTAAGCCGATGCCAAATGTCAGGTTATTTTGGATAGAAAGCGTATGGCCACCCGCGTCTCGTGAAGCAGAGACAACTAAAGAGTCAGTAAAGACGAAAACGGAAAGCGGAAAATGTTTCTGTATAAAGACAGAGAAAAAGAAAAAGTAGGGCGACAGGCCAGCAAAGCTCAACGAGAAAAGGAGCTAGAGCGAGAGACAAAAAATAAAGGGAGACATTTTTTGTTGGAAGAACAACATGAAATTTTGTAGCGGCGGGATGCTAGCGGCCACCAGGGTGAAAATGAGCGACAGTGAAAAAAAAAAAAGTGAACAAGAACACGTACGACACTTCCTCCATAAAACGTGTAACCAGGAAGTTTCTGGACGTTTTACTTTGCAGTCGTGCAAAACAACGGCAAAGAAATGTACAAAAAAGTGTGCTGCACGTGTAAAGTTGCTTTTTTGCTCATTAGACCTATTGCTGTTTTTTTTTTCCGTTCTCGTTGCCTTCGCTCCTTAGCATTACACGATTTTATATTTGTTGTTTGAGCAAACTATAAAAATTATCGAGAGCTTCGCTTTTAGCCCTGGCGAAACTATATATTAGGCATTGCCCTTTTTGTGGATCCAATCTAATAGAAGACGAAGCTCACTTTCTTTTTCAATGTCCTACATACTCTACGATTAGGAATAAATTTTACTATAAAGTCAAGACTCTGATTCCAAATATTACCCAGTTACCTATAAACGGTTTGATTAATGAATTGATGAACTCCTCTAATTTCTATATCAATATACAATTCATAAAATATATTTCAGCTTGTTTTGATGTTCGTGACAAATTATTATCAAAGTAAGTTAATTGCCCTATGATGTAATTTTGATTCCTAAAAATAGCTTTTGCAATACTGTATGTGCTTGTATGGTCATGCAAATAATGCTCGTTGTTGTTCTTGTTGTCGTCGTCCCCAGCGCCTGCCGCGCCTCTTTTAGCCAGTGTGGCCTTCAGAGCTCTGAGACCAAGAATCTCGCCGTCATTTTTATTTCCTTATTGGTACTCAATTTCACGATTTTGGGCGAGACAATAATCTGCTGGGTTTTATTTTCGCGATTTCAATAGGCACATATTAAAAAGAGGCATTAAATTGCGTGATTCACGCGTTCTCAGGTTCATTTTATTTGTCAAAAACTCTGAACTTTTTAAAATTTCCATTATAAAATGGAACAGTACCATAAGAGAAAAAAAAACACTTAATTATTTAAAAGGTCACACTTTGATGAAAAATAATAAATTGAACTTTATTCATATACTTCACTCTGTTGTACAGCTACAGCTTTTACAGTACATACTGTTAACACGAAAACGGTCCTTTGACGCATTTTTTCCCGGTTACCCCGACAACCTAAGAAAAACAAATGAAGTTGTTGGTAACTGGAATTTCTTGGAATAATTACTTCAAAATAAAGATAGACCTCTCTCCTCCACAGAGACTTCCTCTGGGTATTCAAATGTAAAACTAGTAATAATTAAAAAAAAAAAAAACAGTAAGCGCGCGATGGCTGATGGGAAAGGGAAAAGGCCTAGTCTTCCTTTCTTTCCTCTTGCCATGGTCCCCTGTGCGCTATATTTTGCTCTCTTTTCAGCCTCCCTAGAACACAAAGAGGTTTCTGCGGAGGAGAGGCAAGATAGACCCTTGAAAGCTCAGATCTGTCTGTTAAGCACCTGTCATCAAAGTACTCTTATTTATTTGTTTTGATAAGGGTGTTTCTCTGAAAACGACTTCGACCGACATGAACAAGATATTAATGATCAGCCATCCCAGTATGTGAGAAATGGAACCGAATTAAGCATACCTGACAAACTAATTACCTGTTATCCAGATTTTTCCACAAAACGAACGGGCTGAGAAAGAAACAGAGAAGAGTAAACAGGAAAATATATCCCCTGTTAGCGAAGCAATTGGGTAATGAAATAGTCCAGTATTTCTCAGCGATGTATAAAAAACAAAAACAACCTAACCCAGAGGGTTATAGCCTGCGAGACAGGTGCAAAAAGGTGAGGGGAAGGGGAAATAAAGGCTACTTTAACAAAAACAAAAGATGGTACGTTGGGGCATATCATTTGGGCTTTCGTAACTCGAACAATTTTAACTCTGAAATAATTTGTTTCGGACTGCGAGACACTTTTTTTTATAAAGAGGTTTGCAAAACGGTTATACATTAAAGATGCATGTGTACTTATCTATATATATTTTCTTTCTTTGTTTTTACGTAGTGTGTTCAGTTTCTGTTTCTTCTTCCACTATCTCACGTTGTTTGATTTTAAAACGCCGTTTGTACTCTTCATCTGCCGCCAGAATATCGAACATGTATCGCGGCTTGGGTTTTCCTGTTCAGAAAAAGAAAAAACTTAAAAAGTGTTATACAGTTATCAAAATGAATGAATTCGTTCGAAAATATTTGAACATAGACAGAAAGAGATTATTTACCCATTTTGTTGTTTATTTTTGTGCCATTTTCTATAATAAAAACATACAGATTAATAAACAGCTTGTGTTCCAGTAATAAGTACAGTATAAAAACCGCTTGTAAGAACCTACATTTTTTGAAGTCTGGCAATAAAGGTTAATTTTGGTGACGGTCTTAATTTCATGAAGAAGATTTTGTTGTTGATTACTTGTACAGAAGATCAATGTACCAGTATTTAGTAAAATCCAACTAGTGGTTATTATCAATGTTGCGTTCTGATTGGTTGAGCTACTACTAGGCTATATGTTATAGCCCACTAGTAGCGAAAAGCGCAGGATTTTTGGCGGCAAAAAAGGATTAGAGTCTAGCTTTAACTACCGGTAACTAAAAGTTTTTTATTTTCGATATTTTTGACCAACTAGTTGAATTTCACTAAAACAATTATTCCTCTTGCCCTCATGGCCTCTGAGTCAATAGCCCATTTGGCCTTCGGCCTCATGGGCTACTGACTCAGAACCCATTCGGGCTCGAGGAATAATTGTTAAGTATAGCAAAACTAATAACTGAAAGTATTTGTATAGTTATCTCTATTATCAAGAGTAATATAATTAAAAAGACAATGAAATAAATAAATACAGTTAGTAAAGATGGTATTATTTTTCTTGTAATATAAATTTGCAAGTTCCTTGGTTAAATGTTTATCAAAATTAAAATTTGACTGTAACTCACGTATAAGAATCCGCTTGATTTTGTTGCTATATTTCTGGGTTAAAATGGTAAAATTTCTGCCAGCAGGTTCATTAACCATTAATTTCGTTACACGCAGGTATTATTCAATTTACTTCAAGCTGCATCTGTTTACCTGAATTGTTAAGTTTGCTAAGGTGAAAATACAAAGACGACACATAAGTCATGATGCTTAGTTCATCCGGGACATCCATCGACACCAGGTCACTCGCGTCCAGCAAGGCCGGGATACCAAGCTGTTCCTCTGCCACTTTGAATGCCTATCGACAAACAAAAGAGAATATTTTACAAACTGATATCTTTTACAGAAGAAGAAGGCAAAAGGGCCTGTTTTGGGTTTTTTATGGGATCCGCTGGACGTAAAAAGGCAAGGGGTTTTGGAGAAGAGTACATGTTTAGAAGTGCGAGTACTTTGGCGCATGCGCATAGACATTTTCCCGTTCTATTATGTCATAGTTTTGAGACAGAATTTTTGCATACTTAGGCCTCATTAGGATAATGACTTTCGAAAGTTCACGACTCCTAAATGTCGTTGCCGGAGTGAATGGATTTATTTTTCATTTTCTTTTTCAGCTTTTGACCTTGGGCGAAAGGGTTTAAAACCAGTATACACCTATTTCGAGAAAGGTTGTCGGCAAAAATCTGCACGCGACAATCCCGAAAGGTAACATGGGAT